ATATATATATATTGTCAAGTTAGTTTAATTAAGTTAACATAAGTGATCTGAGATATAGATAGATGTTTAATTGTATTACTGGATTTTCAAATCATCGAGCAAGTCGGACAAATTGGCGAGATAGTGACGCATATTCGTGTTTGCTTTTGTAGCGGTCGACGCGCGGCGAGAGAGTTTGAACGACGACGCCGTGATCGCGGGTGCCGCAACTCCCGATTATCGACCACGGATGCAAGCCCACCATGGTCAAGGCGCAGCCGCGACCCAGGCGCGGTCGCCGCGATCAAAGCTGTCGGATTTCTTACACCTCTGGGTCAACAACATCCGACTGCTCTACTCCTGGGGCAACCTAGAGAGCCTGACACCACAACTGCCTAGCACGATGGGTAATCTACAGAGCGATAGTAAGAAGAAGCAGAAGAAGAAGGATGCTGCGCCACCGATACCAACGTCCGTGTCCACGGATATCGAACCCGAGACGACCGAGGACCAGAGGAAGGAGAAGCGGGACCAACCGTCCGCAGTTCCGGAAAGGCGTGATGAACCTCATGAGCCGATCAAGATCAGCTTTGAGAAAGTACATACGCCGGGGCATGTCAAAAGACCGGCACCGCCGCCACCGATGGTGGTGTTATCCAAAGTATGTATCTGGTACCACCTTTTTCTCTCAAGATGGATCAGTAAATTATCGATTGGATGAGAATTTTTTTAAAGATAGGGTTCTGTGAGATGTTCCGTATAATTATAAATAAAGATATATAATTCATCCAATTCTCTAATTTCTCGTGAGAAGCGCAATGCGGAAAAAATCGAAATGTCGCCGATCGAACGATGTATAAGGAAAGAAATTGTATGCTTTGTAGGTGTCTCCGCCTTGAGTAATAGTCATAGTGTAAAATTGTTTTGTAATTAGGACACGCAGGAGAGTGTAGAGCCTGAATGTCGCAAAGATACTGTAATAACAGCGAAGCCATGCGTAACAACAACGGAGTCTTTCCGCTCAAGTACCACGACATCAACGACGACACCAGCTCAGACGCCGACGACACCGCAGACGACCCAGCTGCCACCATTGTTGGTGACCGATTCATGGCGTTTGGCGAATAAGAGCTTAGTCGTTACGGAAATGCCGACGCCGCCCAGCCAGGAATCCTCGAGCGATAGTGTCTTTACTGATCCTGGAGAGCTTACTATGAGTCCGGTCACAGCAGGCACGAGACCGGAAGTGATGAAACGTAAACCTATCCTGGAGACGATCGATAGTAAGGAAGAGAAAACTTCGTTCATGATCTCGAAGCATAAGAAGATCCATCTCTCAGTGATGAGTCCCCGAATAAGTGAGAACGATTTTATTAATGCTTAGTACACGTAATAGATCATTCATATCCTGTGTATTTTTTTTTAAATAACACAAGAAAGAATGATTTTGCTAAAATATCTGGAAAATTAGTTAGAGATACTGATCTGAAAATAATTTTATTGGACCGTTAAAATAATTATGTAGAATGCTTAAGGGAATAATGGTTTTCTATTCCTACTTTTTTCTTAATACACAACCTTACGGATATTTTCTAAAGATGTTAAAATTATGTAAAGATCACGTAATAATTTCTGCATACTTGTAAAGATGATGAAAATTATTTCAGACACGAACGACTCATTATGTGTGGTAATGGATTGAAAAATTATCGTATATTATACCAAAGATTAATTTTGTAATTGCACACGTATCTTCTTACGTAATTTTGCAGAGCAGTTAACATGTTATTAAAAGATTAAATAAATCGACGATGACTCATAAAACTGCGTGTAGTCTATGCAATATGGATAAGTACGTGTTAAAACATAGGTTTACGATATTATCGGTATAAACCGTCGTATCTTGTATATGATACGAAGATGATCTTTTTAAAGATTGGCTCACTTTTCACTCGTTAGAGTGAGATTCCACTCCAAAGAATCTGGAGAATAGATTTTCGGTACTATTCTTTAGTAATGAATAGAACGCAACCTATAATAAATCAATATGACTCACTCGCATTCGGTTTTATTGCCGTCTCAAATAAATGTTTTATTTCTAGGCAAAACGTCGAGTGAAAAGAATGCAGTATCGGGACCGAGTTCGCGCACTTTACAGAGGCGACACAGCGTCTACGAGTCTTCTGCAAGCGAAAACAGAGTGTTAAGAAGAGTGGCTAGTTTGACCTTGGATCGAAATAGCGCCAAGAAGAAAAGAAGCTCTAAAAGTATCACCTGCCAAAAGACGGATCGCTACAAGCAATCCGAAGGTGAGAGAAATGAGCGATCGAGATTGGGATTGTTGAAAAGAGACATATGTCGCAGTTTTATGATTGAACGATTATTAATCTTATATTGAGAGAAGAGAACTTTTCAAAAATGTGAGCTTTCTAATGGCTTCGGATCTCGCATCGGAAAACCAAGGCATAAAAATGATGAAGCACTTCCAAGATAGAACACTTTTATAGTTCTTTATAGGTCAGCGTACGACCTAGAAGTCACACGCTGACGATTGCGGGTCTAACGCGAATCTTATCTCGTGACGGAAGAGAACGCGCGCGATAACATTGCGAAGGGTAAACAGCGGTATACCTTTTGCTCACAGTGATGTAATGCACGAGAGACTTTCGCGAAAAATTGAGGTGTTGTGAGACCGGTGGATAACGATAAATCGGCACAATTAAACAGAATTTGACGATAAGGATAATCGAGCTCTTTCATCATTGGTGGCGTGTCGATTAGATGTTTTCAGACGGTCACCAAATAATCTGTATCATTCGTGGCCGAGGTTATAGCGAATGATACGCGCGAATCAAACACGCTTGTTTCTCGATAAGTCTTATCGAGATGGGGCGGTTCGCAGGGTTCGATTCGGATTCTCGTGTTCTCTCATGCCGATCTGCGAGCGAGATGCGGCAGTTTTACGCGGAACGTCGCGATAAAATATCCGGAGTAGAAATCAAATTTGTGGTATGGTTGTGAGATGGAGAAGTATCTAACATCCTATTCGAACGGACGCGAAATTGAAGAGTAATCATGAGAAAGAGACAAGAGCGCCTTTGCTTTCGCACATATACGACGCGTGTATGTATGTACATTTGTGTGTCAACATTGCCGTTGAATACAAAAAAAGATATCTAACAGCGTGTAACTTTTTAAATTGTAATTTAGCATAGATGAATTGATAATTTCGACGGCTTCAGATTCCTTCACAAACTATGACGTAATTAGAAGTTTTCTATTAAAAGTTATACGTTGTTTATTGACATTTTTATATAATAATCTCTTAAAAATTACATTAATGATAAAGCGATTAGAAGATAAGGTATATAAAAGAATCGTTCATCTTAAATATAAAACGAGATAAGAACTACACGTTGATAAAGAGTCGCGCGTTGCTTTCATAACATGCATTATTAATTAGGATGGAAGTTCATAAAGATATAAGTATCGTTAATGCTCTGCTCATATAAAGCTTAAAGTTGAGATAAAACAGCTCGTCCAGAAATTTAATTAATACTCATGAAGGCTTCATCAAGTGATAGCCAAGAGAGCAAAAATATTCTGTGGGTTCGATCGAAAAAAATATTCGCCGAGCTTTATCGTAATCTGAATAAAAAGACTAATCTTATATTTTGTGTCTATTAATGGAATTTTCAGAACAAGAACTGCCAATTTGTTTGACCTCTGCGCTACCAGACAAAGGTGCGAAGAAAAACTTTACGTCCATGGTAAAATCCTGATTTCTATTTGTTTGATATCAATCGACATATCCGTCGTGATTACTTATTTTTGGAATGTCTTGTTTTAATCAGATAGATCGGACAGACATCTGCGCTTTGTCAAATGAACTTCATTCAGCTCGAAAATCGAGTCAAGTTTGCTGTGAACACTCCATGCTTAAGGATACTTATTCATACGAGGAAGAGGTAAAGAAGCTGAGAGATGAAATCAAACGGCTGCGCGAGATATCTACAGACCGGCAGATAATCACTAAAGGCCAATCTACTCAAACATCACCAACAAGTACATCACCGGTTGATGGAAACGTCAGTGAAACAAGCAACTTAAATGCTGGATCATCAACGATTAGAAGTGACGTCACGAATCTCGATCAAGCCAAGATGACTCTTGCGCTTTCCTCCACATCAATCGACATGGTCGATCGGTCATGCTTATCACATAGCAGTCAAGCACTTAGTGAAAATCCAGCATCGTATCCAACGCCAATACCTGCTCCATTATCACTGGAGGCATTCTCGAAACGCAGATCTATAACGACGTCTTTTATCCCACCGCCTCCGCCACCGTCGTCTCCATTTACGCTTGCCACGTCGGTGCGTGACAGCGAAAGGACAGTTTCAGCATCATCAACAAAATTGATGGACGCTTCTCCTAGGATACCGACACCACCGCCGCCACCTCCCCCCATGTCGGCGCAAAGTATTATGAGTACATTGCCATCCCCGCCGCCTGCCCCATCTCCACCACCACCCACGCCGATGTTGAATACTACAATACCTATTCCTCCACCTCCGCCTATGCAGGTCATCATAAACGCGATATCTCCGCCGTCTCCTCTACGAAACACGATACCGCCACCGCCACCTCCGCCACCACCTCCGCCCCCGTTTCCGTTCAAACCGGTGCAGAACGATGAGATTGGCATACCTCCTCCTCCTCCACCGCCACCACCTATGCTTCCTCAAAGTGCAACGTGTGAGATGTCTTCTATGAAAATTATCATACCTCCACCGCCACCACCGCCGTCTACACCGATATTAAACACATGCGGGATACCACCGCCGCCTCCTCCACCACCATCACTTGCGGGCGTTACTGGCGCGATACCTCCACCGCCACCGCCGTTACCTGGAATGGAGCAGAATTCTATGACTGGTCCACCACCACCGCCACCGCCTCCAGGTATGCCTATGCAGGGTGGTATACCTCCACCGCCTCCTATTGGAGGTTCAGGTGCGGGTCCTCCACTACCGCCTCTGGCACCGCCGCCACCCCCGGGAGCAATGGGACCTTGTCCTTTACCCGCTCCACCAATCGGAGGATGGAACCCGCCGAGCAGAGCCAGTAGGTATAATGATTTCAAAAGTACAGGGTACTCTCGATAATTCCTTTTGTTAATCGAGAGTACACTGTACACTCTTTTTGGTTTCAAGATTCCGATATTTCCACCGCGTAACACAAGTTCCTCCCTTTTGTAGTTATGAGAAAGCAACCTTTAAATCCTGACGTGCCTATGAAGCCATTATACTGGACGAGGATTTTGGTACCAGTTACTGCGACCAGTCAAACTTCATCAAGTACTTCAGATTTATCACCACAGGTTAGCAAAAAACAAACACTATAATATAATAAAATTCGTTATTGACATAAAATGGTGATTTCTTCAAGAGTGGCTATTTTTGTGCTGTCTTATTTAGGTGCCTCTGTGGTTAGAACTTGCCGAGGAGGAGAATTTAAACATGAAAGAGTTTGCTAATTTATTTTCAAGGCAGGTGAGAGAAAGGAATCCGACCAAGAAAAATGAAGGGACACCTCTCAAAAGTTCTAAGATCCAACCTGCAAAAATATTAGATTCGAAACGCTCAAAGATGGTCGGAATCCTTGAAAAGAGTCTGCACATTGATTTTAGCGAGATCGAGAATGCGGCTTATAATTTAGACACGAGTGTGATTAGTTTAGAAGCATTGCAACAGATCTACGAAATTGTAAGTAAACCGTGAGATAAAAATATAATTAAAAATGCAAAATATGAAGTAAATACACTTTTTTTTATTTTCTGATAGATTAATTAATTTCTGAAAATTCCGAGTCATTTTGATATTTTCTGATTTGCAGAAACCGACGCAAAAGGAAATAGAAGAAATTGCAGCTCATGAAGCAATTTTTCCGGACATTCCTCTCGATCAACCGGAATTATTTCTCAAACGGCTGTCTGGTATAAAGCATTTCTCTGAAAGGATAGCCTGCCTGATGTTGCAATCGGAATTCCAGGACGCGATATCATCAGTGTCGTATAAATTGAACAATGTGCGAACTACCTGTGATTTTCTGATCAATTCTGAGCCTCTAAGAAAAGTAATAGCGATCATACTGACTTTGGGCAATTATATGAATGGCGGAAATATGTTGCGCGGCCAAGCCGATGGCTTCGGCTTAGAAATTCTCAGCAAGTTGAAAGACGTAAAATCTAACGTACCTGGCGTCACCTTGTTGCACTACGTCGTCAATGCAAAATTGTCCCAGGAAAAGGAGCATAATTTCGACGAGCTATTGCCTTTACCTGTTCCTGAACCGGCTGACGTAGAAGCGGCATCCACAATCAAATTCGATGAGATCGCTAAAGAACTGGATAGATTAGATAGAGAATTACAATGTGAGTGTTACATATAATAAAATAAATCTCTTTATATAATATTGTCTTATTTAAGAGTTTGGTAAACGTAAAATATATAAAGAAATGAACACTATAATTACATTTGTGTGTTAAAAATAAGTGTTTAGAAAGGCTATGAACCAAAAAAACAACAAAGTAAATGTGTAAATATAAGAAATAAATATAATTATCATGATCTAAAGTAAATAATAAATAACAGACGTCGTTTTGCGCTCAATCGGGTCCTCAATGTTACATATAAACATAATTAAATAGAATATAATTAAATAGTACGTTTGTGTGTGTATGTCAGATTTCTTATTAAAATATTTCATAAAATTTACACACATTTTCTATTTTAATTCATTTATATAACATTAATATTATATAAATGAATATATACAAGTTTTACATACATATTATATAAGTTATTTTTGGTCTTTTTAGGCTCAATTCCACAACTTACGGTTAACTCTTAACCGAGGTTCAACTTATTCATTATTACTTTCCAATTCTAAAATTGGAAAGAGAGATGAAAAATAAGTTGAATCTTGGTTAAAAGTTAATCGTGAATTGTGGAACTGGGCCTTAATACTAATACTTTACAAAATTAAATTTTTTAAGAATAGAGTACAATTATTATTTTTGTATTAATCGATACATTCAGATGAAAAAAACGGGTGCAAATAATGAAATTGTACTCATTGAAGTAATTACTTTTTTGTATTTATTCGCACTCGTTTGCTTTATTTGAATCAACTTTAAATATCATTTACGTAAATATATACGATATATGAAATTAATTTGTTTTAGCGTGTGCACAAATGTGTAGTACAATTGTGGAAGCAGATCCATCTACGTCCAAAATATTCAAAAAGAAAGTAGATTCATTTCTATCAAGGGCGAATACCGAATTGGCGAGCGAAAAAGAAGATTTATTGGAGGCTAAAAACAAATTCAAAGCTGTGATGAAGTTCTATCAATTTATTCCTAAAGGCTCCACCCTGGAGACTGCAGAACCTTACGACTTCTTTAATCTATGGCTTAGTTTCTGTCGTGACTTTAAGGTATAATTTCAGCGTCTGGAATTATTGATCGAGCAAATTACAACAGATCAGTATTTTGCAGGATATCTGGAAGAGGGAACAGCAACGAATACGAAAGGAACAACTGGAGGCAATTCGTAAAAAGTTCGAAAACAAACCCGAAGTTGTAAGAGTAAAATTAAATCCGCACGGATTGAAAGCAAAACTACAAAAACTTACACATAAGAAGCAGACTCAAAGGTAGTCTTGTCGAAATGTCCACAAATTAATGATTTGAAGTTGAACAGGTTATACGTATAATCGTATTCGCTAAATTTTGAATTTCACAAATAATTCCATTTAGTACTCTGGTATTCACAGAGAATTTATTTGTATATAATTTCTAATTTTTATTTATTTATTATTTTTGAGTTAAATTGAATAAGATGATATTATTAATATTGTGAAAAAACATTTTAGTTTCAAAACGAATAGATTGCTTTGTGCAAACTGCTATATTATTACTATATAGAATATAAAAAATTTCTTTATCTGCTTCGCCTACAAAAACTTATTATAAATTTTGCATTTATAAAATTATTTATTATGAAAAACGGCTTTTGAGAGAAAAATTCATATTGCTCAAAAATAACAAGTAATTTTAAATTTACATTTCAATATTAGTTATTATAAAACAAATATTGAAGACACTTGAAATTCATGCAACGAAATGAAAGTGATCGGTTTCCAAGTATGATATGGATTGCCGATCATGAAACATCCGTGTCACACTACGCATTGAAGATTGAGGATTGCGAATTAGAGATTATTTCGACTAGTCATATAATTAATTTTAATTTTAATCGTTTTGTTCTGATTGGCTGAATTCTATTCTTTAATTTGCAATCTTCATTGTGACACGGGCTTTAAGTATCCAAACGATAAGAATTCTACGTTATATGCGAATATAGTTGTTACAGACTGAAATGTTAACAGTGCACTAAAACGACAATGTATACTTAAATAGACACGTTGTGAAATTTATTAATTATTAATATCATATTAAAAAGAGTATTGATATTTCTTACAAGTATTGGTACTGAGGACAACTTTACGGGTATTGTGAACGCATTCCAATCTCTATATTGTTCCGAGCGATTTAGCAAGCGCATCGGAAAGTTCAGTAAAAAAAGGCCATAAACAAAGTCTGTTCTTTTTAGCTGCACTTTCTTACATTATTTGCATTTGACATAAAATAAATGACGCAAATCTTTAAAGAAAATTGTAGGAAACTGCAGAAAAAGAAACTAAAAAGGATGTACCTATATTATAATAAACGTCCATGATAATTCTAGAAGAAAGAAACTTTGTGCCTCATTATACTATACATCTATTTCGTCAGTTTTCATTACTCTGCTGTAGAATTTCATAAAAGAACATCGATTGTGATAATTATTGTTATCTATTTATTTATTTATTTATTTATTTATTCGTTAATGTTAATTTATACTAGATTGTCATGGATTAATAAATAAAAATGTATATAGAATGTTAATTATACGAATTATTGATGTTATTTAATAAAAGTTTCTTTATACAAAAAATAGAAAAAATGTATTCATTAATATTTAAAATTTATATTGTACTACCTAATTTAAAACATAACAATTTTTGTATCGCCCAATTTTATGGTTTCAGTTCTCGAATATTTACATTCTAACTTAATATCTAGAAAATTTGAGTATTATAAATTTGTTAATTCTATTTTATGAAAAAACTTATATTGTCCAAATACTGTTACTATCTAATAATCTAATCTATCGACAGGTCATTTTCTACTTTCTAACCCAGGAATAGTACACTACTATTTTTATGTTCCAGCGACAAGCAAATGTAAATTGTTGTAAAACTATTATAGATATTTCATTTATTTTTTTGGACATATTTTTTCTTTTTTAATAACTACTTCTTATGAATCGCAATAAAAAAGTGATATTAAATTAAACTTTTATTTTTTAGTAATACTGTTATATAATAAGCTATTTGCTTATTCTGTTTGATATTATTTAGTTTCTATTACATTCTTCAGAAAATGATTAACTTTATATTCATTGATGTTCTCAAATATCAATAATCATGAAACAATGAACAGTATAATATATTGTTAATAATAGTGATTTAATTTAATTGAAGTGCAGCAAAAACAGGACTTTTTTTTTTATAGGAAAGTGGCTACTCTTAGGTTAAAATTTGTTTACATACAACCATGTAACTTCTGATGATATCAGGTGCTGCCAGTGCTATTATTGTTTAGTGTTCTGTAGTCTCTCAAAGCGACAAGAATAGTTAGGTTGATATATTTTAAGATCAGTTGATAAAATTCGTTGCTTTGATACTCGGAATTGATTCTTATCGGTAAGTTTAATATAAAAGAGATGAGTTATCGAAAAATAATATTTAAATATATTATTTCGAATATATATATATATATATAGGAGAAATAGAGAAAATAGACATGATTTTTATCAGACATTCCATATATAACTCTTTTATATGTTTTAAATTAAAATGAAAATGTATTTTAAATAAAATTCTATTCGAATTATTTTCTTTTCTTCTCTCTATTTTTAAATACAAAAATTAAAATTGATTAAAAATAATCTTGTACTATATCTTGAATTTTTTTTAACAGAAAAAATACATACTTACAGATCCATAATGATAAACGACATGACATTCTTAAAGCTGTTACTAAAAAGCAATTTAATATTTTTTGTTACAACTATTGTTACCGGCGAAAATTCGGAAAATAGTCTGTTTAATTATCATCTACCATACAATATAATAGCATTGCATTATAAGATACAACTAACACTTCCTAGGATTGTCGAAAACTATACTTTCTATGGCGAATCCAACATTAATATTATTGTACGTCATCCTACGCAGGAAATAAATTTGCATTCAGTGTTTGTAGACATAAATAAACAGGTTACATTATTTCATGAAATATCAAAAAGGATTTATAAATCGTCGGGTTATACTTGTAATTATGGATTGTTTACGTGTTCTTTTAATTTTAATGATTTGATAACGGTTGGGTCTTACATGCTCAAACTGAAATACAATGGTACCATAAGTGATCGCGAAAATGCTGATGGCTTTATCATAACTTCATATAAAGATGGTCAACGGAATCTTAAGTGAGTAAACATTAAAATATTAAGAATATATGTTATGTGTATAAACACCGTTCAATGTAATTATATCATTTAATGAGATCTATATTAGCTTTGCAAGCGTTTTCGAAAATTTAATATAATTAACTTATAACGGTCCGAATTCCGTTATATGTTTAATAATTCAAAATTACTTTCGTACACACTGAGAATAATCTGATAGAGGTCACAAAATGTTTGTATTTTATTTTATTTTATAACAATTAGTATGTAGTTATACATAGTACTAAAATCTAGTTTGACCAGTAGTTGTTTTAATGTTATTACTTTGTCTAAATATTTGTATGCCAAATTTATTAATAAGATATATTGTTAAAATGTGATAGGTGGATGTATTCAGCAGGTGACTTTCAGAATACTGTCGGAGTGCAATATGTATTTCCAGTTATAAATGATTTAATGTTTAAGGCCACATTTGACATCACCGTTGATTATCCTAAAAATTATACTGCTTTATCAAATATGCCAGTAATAAGCAGAAAGCACATTAAAAATCATATGAAGAGCGCACATTTTCATACTACTCCTGCAATACATCCCTATCTTGTCGCAATTATAGTGGCCGATTTGGACACACTTTATACTAAGTCAGAAAAGGTTCCGCTGTTGTACAGAGATTTAACAATAGCAAGACAGCTGTATTTTGCTTTGGACGTTGCTGAAACTACTACTATGTACTTGAAAGATCAATATTTCCAGAATTGTACGTTGAATGATTATATACCACAAACGAATTATGTAGCAATTCCATACTATCGAGATGACGGCTTGCCAAATTGGGGAATTGTTTTTTATAGGTAATATATTGTATATATATTTTATATATACAAGAATAAATTGTACTTTTTTTATAAGATGCTAGAGGATTTGCTGGTTATCTCCGTGTCATGATCTATCGCTAATACCAACATTTCGTGAACCTTGCTGTTTACTTCATCAGGGCAAGGAGTGTACTGATACATTTTATCAATATATCTATAATATATCTATAATATAGATCACGGCACGATAATAATCCGCAAATTTTTGGTATCTTTAAGATAAATATTCGCGAAAATCTTAAAAAACATTACTATACTTTTTATAGTTCGTTTTAAAAAAAAATTTAAGGACTAAAGAAAAGTTTTGAAAAATTAATTAGATCAATGTAAATCAAAGTATTTACTTTATTAATTGTTTTTTAGTCAAGAAGCTATTAGCTATCTTAATGAATGGAATTCTATTCAGCGCAAGACAGAAGTTGCAGCCTTAGTAGCACGTAAAGTGGCAAATCAATTTCTTAATAAAATCACCTTATCTAGTTGGTCTGACATGTGGATAAACGAAGGCATTGCAACGTTTTTGGGAACGCATGTCGTCGACAAGGTTGTCTTCTTTATATGTATTATTCGCGTTATTAAACATTGGCTTTGTTTACGCAGTTAAAAGAAAAATGCTTGTTGATATAGAAAGATACATATAGAAAGCTTTTAAATTTTTATAAGCTTATTTATTAAAAATAGAGCACATTGTACAACTGTTCTTATAAAATTTAAATTATGAATAAGCAATCAGCCAACACATATGAAATCGATGTTTTAACAAATTACAATGATATAATAAAAGCTTATAAGAAATTTTTTCCAAATTGTTTTAATAAATTGCTAATTCGAAAATTCAATTATTTTTAATCAAACATTTATTTAATTACATTAAGATGTTTGTCTTTAGATTTTCACAGATCTTCAAATGATGGATTTATTCGTAGTTAGGACTCGATGTGAATCTCTTCGTTTGGAATCTGTCACTAATATGCCACCTGTTGTATTTCAAATTAAAGAACCCTATGACGTCAAATTATTTGGTTCTTTCCGTTACAATAAAGGTAAAAATAAGTAATTAAACAATTAACGAGCTGATCATCAATGTCATAAATAAATAAGAATAATTATCTAATAGAATTATTTATTATATTTATCTACAATTCATTTAATTTATATATATTCACGAATATATGTGTATGTGGATTATATATATATATATTTATAGATAATAAGACAAATTTATTGTAAACATCTAAATTTATTGTATATTTTAATCATTGTAGCGTTCGCTTTATTGCGCATGTTATATCATATAATTTCCGACGAGGTATTTCATAAGAGTATCTGCAATTATTTAAACAACCAGTAAGTATTATCTAGAAGTATGCAGGATAAGTATAAAGTATAAGTTGTTTGGTTGAAATGAAATTTATTGTGATGTTTATTGTTAACAGTATCAAAATTTTTTTAATTCAATTTATACAGAGTAGATCATATCAACAATATCGGAGAATTGCATTCCAGCAATGTTGCATTGACATTGGAAACGTTGCACCAATGTTGCTGTAACTTACTATGCTGTAATAGCGATGTGCCCGTTGAATCAACATCTGCCAACAATTTATGGGCCGTTATGCAAACTATTCTGAATGAATCCAATAACAAAACTGGACTTAACATAACAAAGATGATGAACTTTTGGATAACACAACATAAATATCCTATATTAAAAGTGACACGAAATTATGGTGATGGTCGCACGGTAATATGGACAGATATGCATAATATGTCTAAACGGCACGAATGGTGGATACCTGTGACCTACACTACGGAAACGAATCTTAATTTTAACATTGCACCTTTCGTCCAAAAATGGATAACCTGTGAACAGTTTTTTGTATACTTACCATCAATTAATTTGAATGATTGGATTATAGTCAACTTACAACAACTTGGTGAATATTCGATGAATTTATTTCCCTTTTATTTCTGTGTCACATTTAACATTATTCTTTAATTTCATTTGTATCTTTTATTTCTTAATGCTTAAAATATATAATATGTCTCATTATACTATATATATAATAAATAAAATTGATATATGATTAGTTGTTGCAATCAAAGTAAAATATATTAAATTTTGTATACAAGTAAAATATATTAAATTTTGTGTAATTTAATCATTATTTAGCTCTATTTAAATTTGCATAGTTAATTTTTGCGATTAATTTTTAAAAATCGCACTCATTAAATGTTATATGAAATTAGTAATTTGCAATTTTTTAATTATATGTGCAATTTTTGGTATTATTTACACGTTTTGGTTAAAGAAAGAAATACATAACTTTCAGACATATTTTTTGATAAGTCAAAAGAATTTAATAATCATAAAAATTACCTATTTATTTATTTATAGGATATTATCGTGTCATGTACGATAAGGAAAATTGGATAAGACTTGCAAGCTATCTAAATTCGTATAAATATAATAAGATACATGTTATAAATCGTGCGCAAATCGTTGATGATGCATATCACTTTTTGATAACGAAACAACTTGATTTTGATATGTTTAAAGAACTTACAATATATCTATCACAAGAAACAGATTATATAGCATGGTATCCTATGTTTTACATGTTTAGAACTACGTTAAATCATTCAAATATATTTTCACATCCAGAAGCTACACCTATCAAGGTAACAGATAATACTTGGTAATGGAAAAGTATCAAATTAATATACATAATATTAAATTAACATATATAATATTGAAAAATAACACACACACATACACACGCGCGCGCGCGTATGTTGTGTGTGTGTGTGTGTGTGTGTGTGTGTGTGTGTGTGTGTGTGTGT